TGGATCGACCCTGGGTAGAAATGTTTCCTCTAGCGTTTTCTCTTCCATTGGCCAGTCTGCAGTTTGATTCTGTGCTTTGGCTTGATGAGTGTTCTGGTTGAGCAGGCCATTAAAATATTCTCTCCGGTACTTCAGCAACTCTGTTTCACCCACTATGAGGTCCCCACTATCTTTCACACTCGCTCTCAATCACATTTCACAATCAAGTCATTTTTGTCGTCCGAAATAATTTTATAAAACTCTCTGCTGTTTGATTTTTGTCGGCTTATTTTCATTGTTTCATACTTTTGGCGATATTAATCACGTTCCATTTTCACATGGGTTTCCTAGTCCCTCAGGGAAACGCTCAAATCTTTCCAGATTCTCATCCGTGGCATGTTTCAGCATTTCATTTCTTGTCACCTGTTTTATTTGTAGTTGCTCTCTCGACTCTTCATCGAACCATTTTATTTCTGTTTCCCTTTCCCAGGATTCTTTCAGCTGTCCCTAAAATGGCCTCTGCCAGATTGTTCCACAGAAGCTCTCCGTCACGAGTTTCTCCTCCTTTTCATTCAAAGTTTCTAATGTGTGTGTATTTTTCCTGCTCTTCTTCGTTCTGGCGTTTATCGGATTCCCATATTGATATTCACAGTGTTTGTGCTTTTTCTTCAACTTTTTTTCTCCTGTATGTATTAGTCCTTGTCGGAGGCTCAAATTATGAGGAAAGCTGGCGAGCTCCTTCTTACTGAAGTTACTCAGTCCACTCATCAACTAACCTGCGGCAGAGTTTGCGCGATTCAATGCAAGCTCTTACCACCGGGATATCCTTAAAAATTGTATAGCGACCAGAAAGAATGGCGTTGTTAAATCTATCAGCAATTTCCTGGCCATCTTCAAGCACCGTGTCAAGAGAACCGCGTTTATCACATATAAAAACCACAATTTTTATGTGACAACTGCCTGAGCATAACCGCCTTTTGTGTAGCCGATTCATTGAATTTTGAGGCAACAATTTGCTTGGAAAACCGGTTGAATTCAATTAGAACCCGATCAAGCAGTCGCAGTACCATCAATGGTACAATAGTTGTAAAACGGTAGTCCAGGCAAGAATGCGGTGCAGATCTATCTGAGAGCATTGTTAGTTGGAGTTGAAAAATATGCGAAAAATAAGTGCGCGATCTGGCGAGATCCATAAATTGCGAGTGTGACGTGGGCTTAATAATACATCTAATTGAAAATCGCTACCGCAATGTGCGAACAGCCTAAGGCCATTTAATAATGGATTGTGTTCAGGCACGAGATGGTCAAAAGCCGTACGGTAGCAGTTTCGTGAGTGCCTTTTTCGCCAATGGTCAAGGCAAAATTGGCAATTTAATCCGGGGAATTGCAAATTAATCGCCCGCCAGAAAAAGGCCAAAACCTATGTTAATTTTGCTAAACATTCCTCTTTGTTTGAGACGAAACGCTGTAATTATCTGACGCGCTTCAGTTGCAAGCTGTCTGCTCAAGCAACGAATTTTCAACACCTCCAGATGTAGGCGAAACGTTGTATAAAATGCCAATAAATCACTACTTTCAAGCGTACAAATCAGTTTTACACTTGAGGAAAGATCGGTCGTGAAAGCCTTCAGCCGTTGAGGAAATTAATTGTTTCGGTTTGGTCTTACTATATCGCTCAATGGAGCATTGTCAAAGAGGTTTTGTTGAAATGCTTAATCAAAACGAGTGTTAATTTGCCCGGTCGCATTCATGCTAACCTTTTGCGGTAATGGGCAGATGGTATCGTGACATCTTGGGGAAAATAATGATAGCCATGCAATGAAGGATTAGACTCATTAAAACTGGCAATTGGCAATAAGACAATTGAATGTTAAGTAGTCCGAAAGTACTTAAAGTATTTCCCAATTCAGCGTTCTGCTGGGGGACATTCCCCATGAGCGTTGGGGTACGATGCAAATATCGTGCAACTTTCCCGGAAAATTGGGGTTTAGTAAGTTCTGCGGGTTAATTGAATGGTTGAGCTCAGAATTCGAAAGTGTGGGTGCCGGATTTTCAGAGAACCACGGAAATTTTTTTGCAAATAAATTTCATTCGTAGAATGTCCCATTTTTCCTCTTCGCCTAACATTTCCCATTGTTTATTAGAATCATCACGATCGAGATCAAACTTTAGTTTACCTGAAATGACATTCAGTTGTAGTGTAATTATAGGCGCAGATTATCAACCTTGGTATTTATCGGCTTCGATACTGATTCTCACACTTGTTCGAATGATATACGGCCTTATGTGCACTTTAATATAATTACAGGGTGCTTACGGCGGCTCTTATAAAGCATCCTTCCGAAGGTACCAAAAAGTACTTCACGAAGATGATACATTCCGTATGGAAATACGGTGTAGTTTTACAGATTTTGCCCATCGGGAGGTCGACGATTTACATTATGATTTTACTAATGAGAATTTATATAGAATCTGCCATTTAAAGAGCGGATACTTTATGGGCCCCAATGAGAATTGTGAAACGTATATTTGTTTTACTTTTTTATTACATTAATAAACGTTTAAGGTTTCTATTTTCGAAATAAATAATCTCGATGTTCCGAATTAGCATAAGAATTTCTAACTGTTTTAGTCGGTTTTGTACGTTTATCGCTTACGAAGGCGGTTTCTGTATTGTCCAACCGTTTTAATATTATGTTAATGGCCTTTGAATTTATCCGTATGGGATACTGAAATCGGTAAAAGTGGATTAGGTGGATTGACGCAACCAATTGAACGCAAATAAAGTATCAATGGCATACTGGCATTTGTGAGTTATTTATCGGTTATGGGAACATTTTCAATTAAGGCTTTTCAGCATCTTTGTCGTGTTTAACTCTGGACTTTCTTCTTACGATGATTAATAGTAATTCAGGGCAGATAAAATGTTCAAATTCTCAGGTTTTCACAACGCTTTTCATCAGTAAAGTTTTGTAAAACACCAAGCTGCGAAGCTCCAAAGATTATTGTAAGTAATGAAAAATGATGTTCTGAAATCAGGTTATAAAGTTTTGGATAGGTACATTTTCAACTTAAGCGTTTCATAAATTTCGTATTATATGGCTTTGCACATTCTTCTTTATGATTAGTCCTATTTCGTCCTATTAAGAACGTTTTTTGCCACCAAACTTTTTCTTCAGATCAAGCTGCAAAACAGGCTCTAAATGTTGTTGTAATCAATGAAAACTGATGTTGAAGTGAGACTATAAGGTAAGGTTGAGCCGTTTTTCATGAGTGTGTGTTTCATAAGTGCTTGAAAATTTACCCTATACATATATTGACGCTCAGTTTTTTTCAATCAGTGAATAATTTTTTCCTTGTTTTGGTTGTGCATGGAACAAAGTGCATTTTTCAAGTGATAGGAAAACAGTTTTGACCGAAAAATATTACGCAAAACTTAGGTGCGAATTCATATAATATGAGAAAAACGCTAATATATTTTTAAAAATTCTATAATTTTCTTTATACTTTTAACAAAAAGCTAAACTCAAAAGATGTGTATTAATACAGCAACATCGTAAAACTGTTATTCCACTTGAATTATGTTCAAGTTGATTAAATTAATGATAATTTTGCTCCATCGTGGATTTTAATGATTGTAAGTGGTAAATGTTTTGTTTCGTTTGTCATTTATTTTCATATCGGCATGTGAGATTTTTCATTTTGCCAATTTCATATTTTGTCTTAATCTGATAGATAACTTTAGACAATTTTCAGAATATATAATTTTCAATTCAATGGCATCTTAATGCAAACTGATAGACGTTTACTTTGATTTAAATAGTAAATTCATTATTTTACAAACTCTGATTCTCTCTTGTTTATTTGCATTAAAAAAATGCTGTTGCCGTCCTTCTTTCTGTCGTCCGTTTTTATTTCCAACAAAAATTATAGAATTCTATGAAATTTCTCTGCCTTTCTTCTTCTTTAATTTTGGAGAATTTAGATGCACAATTATTTATATATGGGAAAAAAGATGGATAATAAAACATTATTTATATATCTATATACTACCTTTGCATTTCTTAACTGTAACTTATTGTTTTTAACTGTAGGTAGGTCCTTATCTTGCCAAATTTTACATTTTTATCTTTTCTTTTGGTTACAATTATATTCCCAGTCTTGATTTTTACTTAATCAATTTTATTACTGCGTTTAAATTTTTTATTTGGATCTCCAAAACTCTCTTCTTCCTTATCTTTGACATTTTCACGGTTTTCATCTATTTTTTTTGGTAATTCGGCACGTCGGTAATTTTATTTCAAACTGTATCCATTTCCAACTTTCTCGTTATCGAAATTACTGTGTTTTTTTTGTTTGATCAGTTGCACTATTTTTGGGTTGCTCACATAATTACGCGATCGACTTTCTATAAGAAGTTTGTTTGAAAATTTGAATCCTCTTCTACCCACTCACAAAAACTTGTTGAGCTTATTTTCTCATGATGCTAGTTGTGTGTTAAAACGATTTAGTGACATCAGATTGCTACATTTTGGTGCTTAAAACATCTGTAAAAGTCTTTTATTAATTGTTTTATAAAAATTACGCCGTTTCAAGGAAAACATATTTAAAAAATGAACACTGCGCTCTTTTCATTTCCTAGTTTTGCGGAACGCTCTATCAGAAGAGGCTTGATTTGTTTAAACAAAATTCTAGATGTTAGACGCTAAAGTGCCGATGGTACCAAAATCCAAATTTGTGAAAAAGTCGACTTTCCACAACGACCAAATTGATGAATATTTTATTCTCCCTATATACCCCGACAAAACCTCCACAAGAATGATTAAAAAACACCTCTATTAATATGAGGTTATATGAGAGATATTAATGAGACCACTCAAGACCTTCTCAGGCAGACAAAATAAAAACACCACAAATGCATTTTTACCAAATCTATTACATACACAGACCTTATATACATATTTACATCAAACTGGGCGGCTCACATAACAAAGCCTTCTAAACCATCCACCCACTGGCGATTACTTGGCGGCGATCAAAGGGGCGGCTGCGTACGGGGAAGCCACATAAGGAGAGGCTGCGTATGGGGAAGCCACATAAGGAGAGGCTGCGTATGGGGAAGCCACATAAGGAGAGGCTGCGTATGGAGAAGCCACATAAGGGGCCGCTGCGTATGGGGACGCCAGATAAGGTGACGCCACATATGGAGCAGCTGCCGCATAAGGAGACGCCAGGTAGGGAGCAGCTGGAGCCACTAAAGGAGCAGCTGGGGCCACAAGGGGGGCTGCCCTGGCTACAACTGGAGCTAGTGGGGCGGCTACGCGGGCGGCAACTGGGGCGGCAATGGCGTGATTCACAACGTTGGCGCTGTATGAAGAGGCGTAGGGAACCGAGTAGGCGGAAGGCAGAGCGGCTACTGGGACTGCACCATCTGGGCCTCCCAAACAGCCGGAGATGGCCAAACTGGCCAAGCAGAAGAAGAACTAGAAAAATCATTAATCGGCTGTAAAAGGGCACTTGCTGAGTGAGACGTGGGCGATTTTTTTTTTTAACTGGGTTCCCCAAGTCATTTTTTCTCAGAATTTTTGTACTTGTGCATGTGTGTGCGCAGCATCAGTAGAAAATATGTAAAAGGAATTGCACGCTTTTATATTACGTAAAGAAATATCCTAAGTATTTTGTAATGCAATTGAAAGTGCTCATTTGCAGGCTTGCAGTTTTTCATGTTAAATCGTGCCTTGGTAAAGTATAGGTTTTTTGTCTTAAAGTTATGCTTTATTGTGTTTTGCGATTTCTTTCTTTGCTCATTAAACGATATACGTTCAGAAGTTATTTTTTTTCTTGTAGATCTTTCGTTGGCAACTTCGATGTTTTTTGTTCTTAATTTGAGAGTAAGGCGTCTTAACTTGAAACTTGATGGTCAATATGCCTAATAAATGGATTATTGAAACTTTTGTAACAATGAGAAAACGAATCGTTTGCATAAGTGACCTAAAAATCCACTTTAAACAACGATGTTAAGATTCATAATACAGTTAATCCAATCAGTAAAAAAAATAGCTTCCAACTTCTAAATGATTTTTTGCCCAACTAACAACCAACAACAGAAGGAAATACTTAAATACAGGAGTTAATTGACAAAAACTTTAATATTCTGGAACTGATTTGGGTACCTGCCAGAATAAACAAAACTAATGTGAATCTGGAAAATAATGAAGAAAAGTGCATTTATATAAGTTTAAAGTTTAAAGAGAAGATCTTGATGTAACGGAAATAAGAAGCAAAATATARTGTGTGTACAGGGTGAATCCATTTATCTCAGGAACGGCCCAAAATATCGATATGAAACAAGAATACTTAATTTATGTAGAAATAATTGTCTCTTTRCATTTTGAAGTGATTGTGCTCTTACACTTACAGACTGAAAATTTATTACATAAACTTATGTATATTTTAATTCGTTTTCTCAAAAGCAGTGCACGCATGTGTTTCCAACTATCCATTATGTTTAGTTATATTTTCTGTCCTACCAGTATCTAATAATACTTCATGTCTTTCTCAAGTAGACTTARTATACAGTTTATCTTTGTTCAACTTGTTAATTTCTTGCTAGATTCTTATGAATACTTTCTGAATGAAAATACTTTAAATATGAAATTTGYTTTTTGCATTAAAAATGGTCGAATTTGTCATCCGAAACCAGCAGATTTAGCTGCAACATTAAATCTCCAGTGATTCACAAATTTCGATAGCAAATCGGAATATTCAATACGTAAGTGGAAAAATCAGTGTGCAAACTGTTGAATACTTTCAATATTGACTAGAAGTGAAAACAAAATAAGAGTAAGAAACAGAAATAAGAAAAAAAAGATACAATGAATAAATTGAATAACTCACAAACATTTAAATTAAATCAGGACGGCGACAAGAAATAAAACAACGAAACAAAGTAGCAGCAAATAAAGAAAATTTGAAAACGCTTCAAAATTTCCAGTTAAGACAAAGGTCCAGTTTAGATAACTTGTACGTCTTAAAAATGCTTCACCAGTTGATGTTCTGAACTAGAAATTAGCAAAACTTTCAAAGACGTTTGGCTGCAAGTTCCTTAAACTAACCAAAGCCCCAAACTGAATAAATGTTGACTTACCAAAGCTTGTGATGCCATTTTACTTAAGCTGGTGTGTTTGACTGTTAAACAAAGTCTGATACCATCACAGCCAAAATCACCAAATTTATACTGATTTGGCACTCGGGTGACCGTCCGATGGGGCGGCCTGTTGAATTTAAAAAATGTTTGATTTGAATTCGGTTTCATTACGTTCTCTTGCCAAATCAGGTCAATTGTACAAATTTTAATTGCACGAAGACTGCACCCGAATAGTTATGACTTTATTAGTATTCCATCGATGTTTGGACTTATTGTGTTGTTGCCTCAGGTTGGCTGACCATTCGATGTCGATTTCTTTACCAGGAATCCTTGGTCTTTGTATCCATAAAATGCATTCAATATCTATTAAAGTCACCTGCCATTATGGCTTAATAACGAATGGTTTGAGTGCCAATAAACCAGACAATGCTTGAACGCTGCAGCAACATGCACTTAACATTGTTACTTCCATCGGAGTCTTCATGTAAACCTTCTTATTAACTTTCGGGAATCTGGGCTGCTTTAAATTCGAGAATTTGCAACAGTTTACATAAAATCACCATCGCACCAGCCCATAACCGAACCACTTTATATCGGGATTGAACTGTAAATGTCGAAAATGACCGCGATTTTTCACTTCTGCCCGACAATCTTATCTCAAAATACGCGTGAAAAACCCGTCTAAGTGTCTTTATTAACCTGGTTTTCGTCTTAATGGCACATTTGAAACGCTTATGGCCCATCTGGACGTGCTTATTTATAACTGCAAACGCCCGTAAGGATTTTTTTCATTGCCCATTGGAGAGGTTTATGGTATCAGCGGTTGATCTGAAGACAGATTTGAGAAGATTCTGGAATCAAGCGCTGATGGGTTCAGCTGGTTTTAATTGTAGATTAAATTAGTTGAACCTGCCCAATGCCCGCGTATTGCGATAATGCATGTTAAGAGCTGCACCAAGAGTTTTTTTACATATTTTTTCTTTAATTAGTTTTTGCTCTTTCAAAGCGCTTGCACTGTTTCTATTGTTCATTGTAGTCGTTGAAGATTTTTACAATTTTTTTAAAAACTCCATCAATCAACATCAAACGCGCACAGACTAGAGCTGATTACATTATTTTATTTTATGTACATTCATCCAAGGCTGTTTGTGTATTACCCGATTTCTTTATCCGTGTGTGTTTCTGATGATTTAATTAGCGCTATTACAACGTTTGCAGCTTTTCTATGGTCGAGGTCAAGCGATAATATGCTTCATGGCAACTTAAAAAATGATAAATCAAAATACGCTTTTTTACTAACTGGGTAATTAATATATGCTTGCGTTTAGAGGATTGGCCGTTGCATACGTTCAGGGGAAAACATTGTTCTTGTAATTTATTATTAATTTAGTGGCATTAAGGAATTTGTTGGTGTTTGCCTTCAGGTCGCATTGCCGAGAGGAAAGCATTCGCTTTCAGAAAAATGCTATGTTTTCACATTAGTTAGCTGCTATAAAAGCGTGATTATATTTTCTGTCCTCTGGACGAACTATTAGGATCTACGGAAGAAAGAAGGAATATGTAGTAGAGTTAAGGGTTTTCTGGTTCCAAAGGACATTTTTCTGGGGATTAACATGGATATGTTAGAGGCACATCTTCTCAAACGGGCTGATGCGTCTCAAACGATTGATTTGCAAATCTTTTATAAAGTTTTGATCAAGTTTGGATCCTTTTAATTTCCTGAATATATTCAGTAATCAAGTGTCAGAACAACACGAATATTGTCTTCAATATGAGGGGACAAATTTATATCTGGCAATGTTTATTGGCTCAATTAAATCTATCAAATATTCAAATTTAAAATAAGATAGATAATTGCTTTGAATATGAGGAGAACGCGAAAGATCAAAAGACGTCCTATTTTGAAAGAAGATTAAAAAACTGTTCACATAAGATTAATTTTAATTTATTTAATAATTTATTTTGTATTTAAAAAAATGGATTTACTTATTAAATGAAAACGATCACTTCAATAGCACACAATTACTCATTATCAGCAATAAATAAAATCTATGAGAAACACTACATTTTTATTGTATTCAAGTTAAAACATCAGAATGCGCCAAAAAGTTGCGTAAAAGTTCAAATCCGCCAAACAACCGATACTTTATATAGTGCTCAATAATGCGGTTGGGGCTGGACTGAAGGCAGCGAAATTTTCCCTTAAATCAGGGTTTTCTTTTAGCTCGACACGGGAAAAGCGGAGTGTTGCGCGGGTGTTCGAAGGAGCGCATAGAGCACATTTGTGCGGACCAGATTAAATAATCATTTAGCGACATCGTGAGTCGGCAGCTTATTTAACTGGTCGGCTTTACTGGCGAGGATCGCAGTTTGCTTGCAGTTTCTTTAAATATGTTTCTACGTTTTTATTGACCTTTGCTATAGAACGGAAATGAGTTTATTTTTGTTGCTATACAAAGTTATCTGTTTTACTAAGCTTTTTTGTTATTTGTTGCTCTATAGAGCAGATTTGATGTCAAATATTTAATGAATTTTCTAAATGATGGTACCAGTTATTTCAATAATGTCTCAATTATAACATTAAGAGAAATTTCCACGATTTCCGAGATAAAATAAACGAACATTATCGAGTCGTATCTCCCATTAGCGTCGCCGTAAAAATCATTATCGAGAATTAACATTTTTGAAACAACCGCGATACAAATCTACGTCGAGCCCAAAAAAGGAATTCTAAAGATCGTCTAGCCGAGTTCTCACACTAAGATACTACATCTGGCTAAAAAATTACCGAACCGTATACATTTCCTTCACAAAGCCAAATTTTAAATAACTCCTATAAGGAGTTGGCATTTGCTTATCGATATTTTATTGATCTTTCTTCGGAGATTTATCTTTGTGTATCAATTCAATGCTCCCGGGTTGAATGATAGTCGCTGAAATGTTTATATTCGACTGTGCGTTGAATTTATAATCGATCCCGGGCTCCGATATCGATCTCGAATCGAATTTATTGCGTTTGCTTTTGTTTTGTAGCGTTTGTTCGAAATTAGGTTCGGCATTCTTGCTGAATCGATTATAATCTATGCATGCAAAACACCATTTCATTCCATATCAACTAGACTTTAGTACTTTTACTCGTTGGTTGCAAATTTTGAAAAAAAAATTGCACTGTGGGAAGTTGAAATTCAAATAAACAATTTTTTTGTGTTTTAGACATTTATAAGCATGCACAATATTTAAAAGATTTTTGGTTTTAATAGGGAATTTTTTAATATTTAAACGGTAAAAGTTGCAGATTTTTTATGAAGACAGCGCAGATTAATAAAAACAATCATTATAGGACCGATGTTTAAGAAGCAAGACTAAGGTCTGATTTCTTGCAAACTTTCGGTATATGTATTTAGAGCCAATGGTTTTCTAACGAGGACCAACATTTCAAGTAGTGAGTTGCATTAGTTTGCAAAATGCGATTTTTTAAAACGAAAGCGCAAAACAGTAAAATCACCTATTTTGATCGCGATATTTACTAAGCTAGAAAAACGGTGATTGTTTTGAAACTTTGACCAGGCCTAGAGTCAAGCATGGTCTACAAATTGTAAAAATTTTAAATTGCTAGTTGTCTCAGTTTGAAATTTTTGAATTGTTGAAAGAGAAAGCGCAGATGATCAAACATAGATTTTAAGACCCATTTTTGTGAAGCGGGCAAAAATCAGGTCTAAGCTTCAGTTTTTGGAAACATGGATTTTTAGAAAACATTTCAAAAACTTAGAATTCCGTTTGAAAAATCACTTTACTGTTACTAAAAACCATTTTTATATAACTTTAAGAAAAAAATCGTTGCAATCGTTGAATATCTAGGGATTTCTGATTGGAGTTACATATGCTCAGTTTTAAAATAATTCAATTTTTTATCAATCAAATGGATCCAGAAGGATGAAAATGTATATTGATTGAGCAACAGTAGGTAAATCATAAAAAGAAACATTTATAAAACGATTAACATATTCATGTTTTTTGGTTAAACTTATATAAATTGCCATGAAGTTAGAAACTTTTAACTTTACAAACTTACTCACTCTTCCGATACCAATCTAAAATATTATTAAATGCATCGTTAATTATTTTAAATGCTGAAACATTTGATGTTTCCCAATATCAAGTTATTCTTTGAGAGTCTTCATTCCTCTTCTAATGCAACTGTAACACTCAATTATTTTTATTGCATCTTCCAGCCAACCACAATAAACTTTAAATTTTTTTAAAGCACAAACCACATTTCAAGGTTTCCTTGTTATAACTAATGTCACAATAAAGCAAACATGGGTAGTACTTATGCAAACATAATTTAAATAATATTAATTGCACATAAAATGTATGAAACTTTATTCGAATTTCCTCAGACTGAATTCACTAATAGGGCGGTAAGAATAAATAAATGGTGGATTTATGCTTAACTTCTCTAGCTGAGTTTCATGAGCATCTGAAAAAGGAACCCCATCAAATAATAAAAAAACATGAAAGTCCGACTAGATATTGATTAATTGATTGGAGAACCGATTGTGTGCAATGTTAAAACATGATACAAATAAATAAACTCAGATAAAGTTATTCCAATAAGTCGTTTGTTTTAATTGTTATTGATTATGGCCGTCATTTAGACTCTATATTAATGACCGATAATTGCTGGACATTAATTTTATGTCGATCGCTCGTAGGTGATAAATAAGCTTTTTGTTATTGGGAAAATTGATTTCTTGAAGGAGTGTTTCAATCATAGTAAGAGCAGTTGCAACACTTAAGCTTTATTGGAGTGAAGGAAAAAAGGAACTTTTTGAATGAAATCCGCTTTTGGTTTAGCGGCAGGAATTGGGCAACAAATCCATGCAAGAAAACTTCACCAATTAAAGGCTGATATTTGCGTGTGAAGACCCAATCAAAGTCGTTACAGTTTGGCGGCGTGATTCGACCGCAGCCTTGACCGCAATCAATTAGTCGACATTCACGATTTGTGATCAGGATGCACTTGAATTCAGATCACACCACTTGAACTGGATGTTCGTTAAAAAGCAACTAAGTCCG